TCACTTTTTGCCTTTGACAGTTTTAGTCATTTAAATCTCTGTGTACTTCTGCCTGCATAACCCAACTCAACCTTCTGCCTCTTGGTCATGATTTGGCAAGAGAGATAATGGGATACAGTGCTGGAAACTATCTTTTATGTGTCACAGTACTCTTTCTGTGTCTTCCAAGTATCATACGGATGTCCCAGAGGGTACAACCAAAGATGATATCCTTCGCCTCAAGGTGGAAGATAAAGATAGTCCTAATACACGTGCTTGGAGAGCCAAGTATACAATAAAGTCAGGAAATAAAAGAGGAAACTTTGCCATTGTGACGGATCTGAAAACTAATGAAGGTGTTTTAAGTGTCATCAAGGTAAGGCAGGCTGACAAAGATAGAGATAAGATTTCTAGAATCATTCCATTGGCTACCCTGACTATGGATTATGGGAGCTGCAGTGGCACTCCTCTAGAAGGCATCAGATCTGGGAAGATGGAAGAGGAAGCCAGAACGTATTAATGGAAACTCTTGTGGTTTATTTTTTTCAGCCTTTGGTCTATGATAGTCCTTCTGTGAGGATACTTGTCATTGTTGTGGAGAATGAAGAGCCCTTCTTTTTATGTGAGAGAGGCTTGGTGAGCATCATTGCTCCTCCACAATTGTCTGAAGTGTCAGTGAGCATTAATGTCACAGATCAGAACGATGCCCCTCAGTTCAATCCTCCAATTCTTAATCGCCAAGAAGGGATAAAGGCCGGAACTAGGCTTGTGCAATATGAAGCTCAGGATTCACACACAGCGCAAGACAAGTTAAGGTGAGTGCTTATGGCTGGTGTTCTTCTGTGAATGTTATTCACAGAGCAGGGAGCTTTGCCAGACTTACTTTTTAACTTTTAGATAGATGGAACATCATCACTATCACTATCGCCATCATTTTTTCTTTATAAAACATGAAAACAAAGTGCAACATTTTTGTTACAAAACTTTTCAAGTCAGATCTATGTGGGCCTCATAACTTAAAAATCAGATAAAAATATTGAGTTAGGGCAACTTTACCTTGTAAGTTTGGGTAAGAAGTAAGGATGCTGCTTCACTTCATTGAAAATCTAAGATTGAGATTTTGCATAGGTCAGGAAACATTAAAACTAGTGTGGAATCCACTCCTCTAAACCTTGTTGTGTGGGAAGTGACTTCTTGTAATTACATAGTAGAGGTGAACACACTCCGCATCTGTTCAAAGAAACGTTCATCTATTCTTTAAAAATTTCAGGGTTAATCTCTGACACGAATGATTGGGAAAAAAAAAAGATAGACTTGTTTATTAAACTACTCTGTAAAATTAACTAGGCTACAGTGGCCTTCCCCAACCTGGTAACCTCGAAATATATTGGGACTGTAATTCCCAAAATCTCCAGCCAACATGGTATTCTTTGAAATGCCTTCCAAACTCTAGGCTAAGGAACCCTGGCCATGATAGTTAATTTCCAGTCCAGTGGAGGTTAGGAGACAAACCCTCTCTGGTCTACATAACTATTCATAAAGTTTATCACTCATGTTTAAAACATTTGCTTTTTTAAGATACAAAATAGTGTCTGACCCAGGTGGTTGGGTGAAGATCAGTGATACTCGTGGAGTTGTGACCACTGCAAAAATTCTTGATAGAGAATCCCCATTTGTGAACAACAGAACGTACACATACACCATTGTGATTCATGCCATTGATGATGGTAAGTTCCTCCTTCCTTCCCTGTTTGTTAATTCTTGAGGATGGACAAGATCAAGGTTCAACAAAAATTCAAAGTCATCCCAATCTAATACAATTTCAGAATTGGTTCTCTCTCTCTGTGTTATAAAAGTTGGAGTATTTTTTTTTTTGATATAAACTTTTCTAGTTTTTGTGCAAGTTGACACAGTTGCCTAGGGTCTGTGAAGCAAGACAGCACGGAGTACATGGTGAGGTTGCCAGAGATGATAAAAGTTACACCCTGTGCTCTGAGATGCCTTCTGAATATGTTTAGCTGCAAGCTTTAATTACCCTACAAAGGAAAATATCACTGGCAAGGCAAGTGATGCTGTTGAGGTGTTTACTCAATGCCTGGAGGCTCTGTGAGCATCTGGATGGGTTAGAACAGTCTTCAACTCAGCCTTAGCAAGACTGAGTGGCTGTGGGGTGTTACTCCCTGGTCAGAGGTGGTGCACAACTTGGGTATCCTCCTGGAGTCATAGCTCCTCCTCAAAGAGCAAGAGGCAGACATGTTGAGGGGCATTGGCAGAAATCTGTCAATCTCTGGTTGCAGCTGTTTCTGGATCAGGAGATTCCGCTCACAGTCAGGCATTACTTAGTCATTTCCCCATTGGATTACTGCAATGGAGCTGCCCTTGAAAAACATGTGGAAGCTTCAGTTGGTCCAAAGGGCACAGTTCTGGGCACATCGAAGTTTGTCCATGCTACACTGATGTTGCATAGAGCTGCATTGGCTCCCAATATTTTTAACATCTTTTTATTCTTTGTTTTATTTTTATTTTTATATTTTTCATGTATTTATTGACTGTTTTTAGCTTTGTTGCATGCCACCCAGAGTTGCCTGTGGTGAGATAGGTGGCTATATAAATTGGTTTAAAAAATAAATAAAATAAATATGCTTCCAGGTGCAGCTCAAGGTGCTGGTTATCACCTTTAAAGCCCTGAATGGTACAGGGCCAAGGTACTCATGGAACCTCCTCTCTTCATGGTTTCTGTCCATCCCACCAGTTCTAACAGGGCAAGATCGAACAATATCATCGTTTGATGGGACTTAGGAGACATGTCATCTTTGTCATGCACCCACCCTATTGAAAAACCTACCCCCTGAGATCCAGAAGACCCTGAACCTCTTCTGGAAGACTGTGAAGACTTGGCTCTTCCTCTGGTGCTGGGCAGGAATATTAGCTTAGCCCCATATAAGTGTGGTTTCTTAGGGTGCCTTAGTTATGGTATTATTATTATTATTATTATTATTAATAATAATAATAATAATAATTATTATTATTATTTTAATTCTGTTTTTGTATTTTGTTGATAGAGATTTTATTTTGTGTGTGTTTCTGTGTGTATGTGTCAGGTCCAGCCCAAAGAACTCCAAGAGACAATGCAAATACAGTTCTGTTACATTTATTAGCTTCCACCTCAAGACAGAAATTCCCCAGACTGAACCCTAGTTCCCAAGCCAGCCAGCCACAACACCGTGAATTCCTTAGGGAGGTGCCAGCCTCATCTTCTTGAACTTCCCACGCTCCTGCTGGGG